TCGTTATTTTGAATCCGCACATACGACAGCAGTAGCAGCAAATCAGCAGGTCAAAGACATGACGCCAGAGAAGCAGTCATACATTGGTGCGGGTCTAGGGTTTTTGAAAAACACGTCAATTTTTTTTCTGGTTTCGTCGCGCTCTCCGGGATAAAAATAGATCATAAATCAAAGGGACGGGGGGAGGAAGGAACAGACGCTGGCAGGCAAGCAATTGGTGCAGAACAGTTCCGGTTCTTTTGAGAATTTGCAAGCCAGGCACTTTTCGTGGGTCCAGAGAAGGGGGGGCATATGAATGACACCGAGTACGAGCCCAAAGTGTGAAGGTCACTGCAAGCAGACGAAAGCTCAGCGCATGTCTACGGCTTCAAAGCCAAAAGGGTAGTTGATTTCTGCCCTAAATAACTGAATTGCAGTCTACTCATAGACGGATTTTAAAAAAAGTTTGAAGTGCGACAAAATGTTGAAGCTTTAACCGCAAAATATAATAAGAAAATTCACTAGGATTTTTTGAAGTACAGCCCAAGCAAACGACGCTCAAGAAAGCATAGAGAGAACAATTTGCTAAAAACAAAATTTGAACAATAAACACTAGCATTAAGCACCAAACAGTGTTAACAGCTTATGGACTCTATTCTTTTCAGGACCGATGCCTGACAGACTGAATGAAAATTAAGTTGTACATCCACACTCAAAATGTCCAACGCTGTGGATGCTAGATATATCGTGTAAACGAGGACCAAATCCGCAATTGCCTATTCCCCGAATTCTTACAGAACTCCAAACGAACGTTAAAGGGCTTTTAAAGCTAGTAAATTACAGTAATTCGAAAGGCCAACCATAGTTCCAGCCAAGGTTGCATACCGAGAAACCCTTTTGGCAGAGTTATTTGCACCTTTGTGTTAACCATTCAGCACTCCGAAAGCTGACGGACCTTAGGTTCCAAGGATCTATCATGCCTTACGAGTGGATACCCAAAAACGAGAACAATTTATTTACATAAAAAATTCAGATAACATATAAAAAACAATAATTCCCTCCTGAACGCCGTCCAGCGGATGATACGTGTTCAAAACCTGCGTTAAATTTTCTGAACTAATACTGTTGATTGCATCTACTAATATTCTTTTTAAATCATTCTACATTTAGAAAACCTTTTTTTCCTTTGAAAGATGACTATTGCAGGTGGAAGTAGGCATGTCATTCATGGGCAGATTGTGGACTTTTTGCACGGTAGTCCTGTTACATTATACACTAAATTTAGCTTTTGATGGCCAAACCAATTGTGCTCTGCATTTCATAGGATTTAAAGGAAAAGGTATGATTACTATGGTGTGAGTCGTAACTAAGCGTCCGTTTATTTACAACGTCAGAGAAAACTGGCTATTTCAAACATGATTAAAACAGCTGAACAAGGGACCGGGGTGGTTGAAATGCCAACATATGACTGCTACTTTTTTTAAATTAACGGAGAGATAGATTCTAAGACAGTGAATGCTAGTTTGTAATTTTACTTATACGCAGCAAACACGCACGTGCTCTAGCGCATAAAAATCGTTGTATTCATAAATCTTTAGAATTTCAATGCTTGCAAGTAGGCTATTTTAGATGAACTTTTTCCTTCTAAAAACCAAGAAAGTGCTATTGGGTCACGATAATGCCAGCACAGTGTTTGTTACCTAATTTAGTTTCAACGCTAACTTTCAAGACCTGTCCATTAAGTCTTGGGTATATCTGAACCCTCAGACATTAGTAGGAAGTAATAAAAGCCCTAATGAGGTCTAGAATTTAAAAAAACCCTAACATGAGCCGCATATAAAATATGGTCTACACATCAGTTTTTGTTAACTGACACGGACTAATTGTATTTTAGGTCGCTATTAACGCATACCCACATGCATGGGCATCCCCTTAGCAAGGTTTTCAAGGACTCTTTTTGAAAGGGAGTTATCATGGATACTCCTTGAAACATGTAACATCTAACGTATACCTTTAATATTCCTTGCTGTTTTTTAGCAGCAAGAATGAAACTCCAAGATTTGGGTAAAATAATTATAAATATTTAGTTTGCTTATGAAAATCAACCTTTTTCCTTTACCCAAAGAGTCTGTAAGATAAGGCTTTGAAGAATTCAGGTTCTTAGATTAAATTCATCTTAAGGGCTCAACCCGGCGCCATCTTTGACAGCACTTTTCAAGTTACGTTTTTAAAACGGATGGTGCATACAACTTGCCAAGGCTCCTCAAGCACTTTCCCCAAACAGGTGACCTGTAAGCTTCCGACCTGGCACATGATAGTTTAAATCGCGAGGCACATGCAAATTCTCTCTGAATTTTGTTTGCTTTTCTTCTTCTCTTGCAAACACCCCTGAATGCTCTCTTG